CGCGGCATATATAGGGTGATTTCGAATATCCACGGTTACTAAAAAAGTAACCGTGGAATATCCAACAGCGGTGGTGGTTATTCCAGTTATACTTATCGACTTTATTTAAAGTTAATTCCGAGACCTGGAAATCATTTTAAATCATCAAAAAGAATGTTCAACAGCGCCCGAAACATTTAACTTGCAACCGTGGTTAAATGAAATGGTCACTGGAACTAGCATACAGCTGTCGTATGGATACATCGAGCAGTAGCATAGATTTGCACCCATATTTAGGTGTTGTGAAGTTTATACGTGTGTGTGGCAGCGGTGACGTAAAATCAGTCCAATCGGCATAATTTAAAAAAAATAACCAATCGTCGATCGTGTCGTACGCCCGATTACGTCTTGAGGATCGACAGAACGTTGCGGTTCACTTACAACAGCATACATTTTGGCGTCGTTTGCGTAATTCCGACAAATTAATTCTCGTGCAAATACTCGAGACCCGCAATTTCATTGCGTTCTATGGCGCGATATATTATTTTTTGCCGATTTCAGTTGACAGCAGGATACTATGTCATATTCAGAAAAACTGGTATATCATCTATTTAACAACGGCTTGCTTAATTAAAAAACACGCTGTCGGCCAATCAGAGTGATTATTCAAGAAATTGAAAATGTTGATATACTAATATAAAATATAAATGTGCAATGTGTCCCGGTAAATCTAGGTCATACGATAGATTACTGATTAAATGTGCATTATATATTTCAATAATATGTTAATACAGTATACGTGTGTGCGATATCTCGCAGTAAAACTAGGTCATACAATAAGTAAATTGCGTATTCATTACATAACTCTATTATATTATATGTATGTACGATATTTCCCGGTCCCGATAGTTTGATATCACACAAAAATAAGTTTAAATACATCAATAATACAATCTAGACATACTTTGAAAATTTAATAATTTTGAAAACGGAGGATTTAATGTCAAAATCATATCAGATCCGACAACATAATTCTGGATTTACGACTGGGCCTAGGAAAGCCACCATGTATCCAAAAGCATGTGCCTAAGGACGCTCAAACATCTAATTAATTCCCCCAAAATATCACCATAATTCAGGTTGAAATAATGGTTAGAAAGATGAGGTGGGTTGAAAGTAGGTCAAGGTTACATTAGGTATAACAAAAATTAAGTCGAGCTATATAAACTTTAGTCATACAACCTGGACATACTACATTGTACCAAGTTTGAAAGGTTAATGACCTCAAAAATAGTGAACAGAGTCCGACTTGGGCCACGGGATTTTATTACTACATCCATATTGGAAAAAACACAGTATTTCATAGCACAAGAGAATGCTCAACTAATGAAAGTGCAGCGCTTGGTAATCCCCCCCCCACATACACACACACAAACATGGAGTGCGTGACCGTTGTGTTGTGGCAACATGTCAGTGCTGCTCTATATTCTAATGTATGTATAAACAGCGGCAACGAACCACGAACAGTGGAGAGTTGATCTACTTATGTGAGCTGTAATTTTCTAGGAGTCTGCCATAAACCCCGGTATCATACGTGTCGGAGCTGGTTAGGATCAACAGCCTAGGTGGTGTTACGGAGGCTCCGCGGCTGAGGCGGTTGAGAACCACTAAGCGAAGAGCCTATTACCCCAGAAATCGCTCCTTACCCAAAATGCGATCTTTCGTTATGGGTTTAGATACGATTTCTAAATTGATTAGATAGTCTAGATCTATATCAATTCACGTTGCTATGGAGATTCCTGTCTAAAACTGCTAGGTTCTATGTTGAATCAACCAATCGAATAGGAGTTAATGCATATGTCCAATCAATGCAGCATGCAATTTACTACCATTATACCAAGTGACCACTATAGGGTCATGGTCAGGTTAGATAGACCCTTAGTAATAGCAATATATTGTATTCATGAAGGCAGATTGGCGTCCTACTGAGGTATCCTGAATATCCTTAATCCACGGCGGGGTCCTCTGGTGCTGGAGTTGATCTTTCTCTATTTTTTGTTTTACTGCCAATATAAGAATAGTCTAGTAAAATCTAAATAGAAAAACTAGTTCACACGGACAGTGATTGTTGGATTGTGAAGCTGTCAGAATTTGAGAATATATTTTTTATATGTTTGATTTATATATTGGGCAAGGAGTTAATATATTCTAGACATTTATGGCAAGCATTTTTAGCACATTGCCTGATGTTTAAGAATATGCCAGAATGTTCTCGACAGGACTATGACGCAGTCATCCAGTATGCATGGCATCTGAAAATACATGTTTTCCGGAAACTTCAGTGAGCAACTGTCTGTTTGTTCCAGTTTACCTTGTGTCTTTATATATTCTAGCTTAACATCTCGGAGGAGATTTGCGTTATTGTTGTGTGGGATGGTCATACAGGTTACCTTCTTTCGAAATTATGGTCCAGTCCCTTACCGTGAGACGTTAATGCACTGTCGTAAATAAACCTTCTTCGTTATTTCTGAAAGCTGTGGTTGGAAGTCTGTTTCATATTTTACATATTTCAAATCAAAGCATATGTTCTAATGTCCTCTGCTTATCCTCTGTTTCCGGTGCGCTGGCAGGTGAAGAGTTTTTGTGACGTCATTGATGTGTCCCCCTTTCACTGCGTGTTAAGACGCATAAATGACAACTACTTCTTGATTACGAGCAAGTCGGTTTTTCGACAGCTGCGATTGAGTACAATATAACAAGCATTGTCCCTTCTTTGACGATAACAAACAGGAAATTCTATAAAACTTCTGAAGCCTTTGAACTTATCGGTTAATCGGGGTCGTAAAGACAATGTCGTCTGCAATAAAACATACAAGTAATTACATACATAATTTGATTGTCGGGAACAATAATTACTATAACTTTGGTTGACCTATTAATTCGATATTATTTTTCTCATTTGCAGTATTGAAGCACCCTAGCTTAGTGTCATAATATACTCTAAAGTGTTATCATCGTGTGATATGTTAAACGATGTAAAATGTGGAGGCCAAAGCGAATGTTTCAGTAAATCGACGGGACAGCAACTATTAGGACATAATGAATTATTACATTAATATATTCAAGTTTCACTGCCGCACAGATCATCATCACTGTCATTACCATCACCACTGCCCAGATCATCATCACTGCCATTACCACCACCACTGTCCAGATCATCATCGCTGGCATTACCACCACTGCCCAGACCATCACCAATGCCATTACCACCACTGCCCAGATAATCATCACTGCCATTACCATCACCACTACCCAGACCATCATCTCTGCCATTATTACCACCACTGCCCAGACCATCATCTCTGTCACTACCACCACTAACATCCAGACCATCATCACTGCCATTACAACCACCACTACCAGGACCATCATCTCAGCCATTACCACCACTACCGCCCAGACCAGCATCACTGCCATTACCGCCACCACTACCCAGACCATCATCACTGCCATTATCACCACCACTGCCCAGACCACCATCACTGCCATTACCACCACCACTACCCAGACCATCATCACTGCCATTACCACCACCACTGCCCAGACCATCATCACTGTCATTACCACCACCACTGCCCAGACCATCATCATTGCCATTAACACCACCACTACCAAGACCATAACACTGCCATTACCACCACCACTGCCCAGACCATCATCACTGCCATTACCACCACTGCCCAGACCATCAACTCTGCCATTACCACCACCACTGCCCAGACCATCATCTCTGCCATTACTACCACCACTGCCCAGACCATCATCTCTGTCATTACCACCACTAACATCCAGACCATCATCACTGCCATTACCACCACCACTACCAGGACCATCATCTCTGCCATTACCACCACTACCGCCCAGACCAGCATCACTGCCATTACCGCCACCACTACCCAGACCATCATCACTGACATTATCACCACCACTACTCAGACCATCATCACTGCCATTACCACCACCACTACCCAGACCATCATCACTGCCATTATCACCACCACTGCACAGACCATCAGCACTGTCATTATCACCACCACTACCCAGACCATCATCACTGTCATTACC